AAAAAACCCCCCGTTTTTTTCCCCCCAAAAAAAAAAAAAAAAAAAAAAAAAACTTTTTGGAAAAAAAAAAAAAAAAAGCTTTGAGCATTATTTATATTCAAGAAGCAAAACATTCTTTTTTCCTCTTAGAAATCAGTGCCAAGCCAAATTCAGAAGAATAAAATCCCAGTGGCAATTGATAGAGATCAGTTCATGTTTAGCAGTCAGTTTACACATGACAAATGCCAGGTGATATTTAAATTTGTGAACAACATCAAAAGGTATAGTTTTAGAAGAATGGAAATACATTAAATACTTTTTATTCCTGAGCACTTTTCTTAGCCTACTAAACTTTTAAAGGATGTTTCTGTATTTTAGTAACTTCTAAAGTCTCCAGGATGTTGGCAGCCCCCCCAGGCTGTTAGACGTATTTTCTGACAGCTCATAATTACCGATGCCCTGTGTGTCTTCCATCCTTACAACATCCATAAAGGCCAGAAAGCCATTTCCTTAATGAGTAGTAGAAAGGCCTTGGCTCCTGCTTAGCTTCTGTGCTTTATGTCAGTTCTACATAGGTAAGTGTGCTGTCATGTTTTCTAAGTGAACCTTATCGCCCGTCTACAGTTGAGTCATGTTTCCATTAATTTGTCTGGCTGGGACAAAAAGTAGTCTACCACTGATGTTCTAAATGACTAATGTACAATGTTCTCTTTTTCTTCCATTTCCTTTTCAACAATCAAGAGTCGTATGGATGGCTTCTGGAAGTCTGTAGCACAGCATGTGCCTCGGAAGCCAGCTGAAATGAGGATCCTCAACCCATACTTCATCCAGGAGGCTGCATTCCAGTTCATAGGCCTGCCATTCAACAATGGTTTAATGGGCAAAGGGGTAAGATGCTCAAAGTCCCAGATTCACGTCTTTTCACAGTTGTAACACTTCTTTTAATTGGATACTTGAAGTATTTGTGTCCCTTTCAAGGGCTGAACCTATATGCTCAGAGCGGTCATAATTTGAAAAGTCATCAAACTAGCAAAAGAAGGGAGAAGGGGAGAATTAGCAGCGTCAGTCAACTCATTCTAGGTAGTTGGAAAAAGTTGGGAATGAAACGGCACCAACAACCGCTAAAGGGAACGACAAGCGCAACTTCCTCCTTTATGAAATGTAAACAAAAATGGTGTTGCGTCAGATTTTAGTTGTAAGATTTATTTGTACGTGGGCCTTTACCTCCTCGTCACTCCATGTCTGACCACGAGCCATTTCTCCTGCTAACACTAGACAGACATGCGTTTGTTTTGGTTGTATTTACCCAGAATGCCCTGTGCTATAGTCGGCTTCCTGGTGTTGGAGCGGTGTCCGGTCCGCTTGGCGTTCACATATGCATTGGAAGCGCACCAGAGTTCACTTAAACCAAATGGAGACCTGGTTTTTAGGTAGGCTACACTTTGTTTTTTTTTTTAGTCCCTGTCAGAGTTTGATTCCACATTCACGCCTCCCAAAACGAACCGGTCTTCATAGGTAAATGAGCTAGAGTTTGATTAAGATGAACTAACAGGGCCGGTGTGAATGGACCCTTAAGAGTTACAGACACTGATGGAAAAACCCATCATGGGAGTTTTGTTACTCGGTTATATCTGCTTTACGTTGTAACTCAACAATATGAGTTTTGCTGTTATGGCCCACAGCAATATTCACCAATATATATTTATTTTTGTATGCACATCAGTAACTTTTCGACATCTTTAAGGAAACAACCACACTGCTGACTTCACCTCTGCTTCAGTTAAACTCCCCACAGTCCTGCTCTGCACCCTGTCATATTACCAAACAAACACGTGATCAATCTCCTCTCCTCCAGAACAAAATGACAACCAGATTCAAATAAAATCCAGTTTTATTTATCATACCGATACTAATAGGTGTTAAAAAAATCACTAATACAGACTGATACCAATATTAGTGCCATCCTTACTAATAAAGGAAGTGATTTTTAGCCTACATGTTCATACACAAAAATAAATTTAGCTTAGTTGATAAAAATATGAAGAAATTTTATTTGTCAAATAAATTGATCTTTAGTTAGTTATGATTATTTAAAAAATGTTTATTTCTTCTGCAGTTCTTCGATATTTTTAATTGATTTCCAGTTTTTGTTGTTTTTTTTTTCCCCAGAAGATGTTAGACACGTATTAGTTTTATTTTTTTTAATAATGTCTTACATTTGAGTAACACTTTCAGCTACTGTATTTTTCGGACTATTAAGCACACCTCACTATAAGCCGCACCCACAAAGTTTAAAAAAAATAAATAAAAATTGAAACGTACATATGTAAGCCACACTGGACTATAAGCTGCTGGTATCTCCGCTGCTCAAGGACGCAGCAGAGAGGGCTGCATCCTTAATAAATCTGCTATTAAGGACACAGCCCTGCGTCTCCAACACCGAACCATGGACTCGTTTACGCCGAGCTTACGTGCAGCGGCTATCGATCTGTACTGCCAGATCGATAGCCTTCAACTTAAAAGTGGCATCATATGAACGTCTTTGTGTTGTTTCCATGGTCAGGGGGTATGAGTTTGAAAACATTTCTCCGTCGTGCCTGCTGCCAGCATGTGCTTGTTCTAAATGAAAATCAGTACTTCTTTGATTTCCAACTTTGATTTCCAATTATTCACTTCCTGCTATTAGAGGCCCCTTATGGTTTAAGAAAAATCCACAGAAAAGCCACACCGGGCTAAAAGCCGCATGGTTCAAAGCGTGGAAAAAAAGTAGAAATACGGTACTTTGAGGAAAGGTTGTACAAGAAGTTTCAGGGAAAAATGTCATGTTAAATGCACTGTTCTCTTCTAAATGCAGTAAGTGTATTTTGCTTCCAAACTCAGTAAAGAATAGTTTAAAGTAATTGTGGGTTCAGCGTTGACCGAAATCATTTTTATGATATTTCTTTTCCTAATAGAATTGTAGCATATGTTGCATTTGCAGATGCTTGTGTGTGCTCTGCAGGGGGATATTGTTAGAGAATTAGAGGCAGCATTAGGAGTGCATCACCCTAACTCTGCCCTGTGGGGCTACCACAACACCCCTACATGTACTTCACCCTGCAACATGTGTTAAACATGTGGCTTTATGCTTTTGTGTGTACGTGTGTGCGTGTGTGTGTGTGTGTGTGTGCATGCGCGCGCGTGCGTGCGGGTGGGTGTGTGTGAAAGGGGGAGATAATGAGTTTGTGTTTGCATGTTTGTATGTTTGCTTTGCTGTGTTGTACACTTATGTGATCTGGCACATTTTGTTTTCCCCAGTAACACTTCCCATTTTCTCCTCTAAACCCTGTAGTAAGTGTTTATGGACATGGAAATTAATGAGGAGACCTATTTGTTCTACATGTGTTTGATGTTGAGTGTGTGTGCGTGTGTGTAAAATAATCGCGATTAGAATACGCAGTAGGAGGTTAGCCAACTGTTGGTCCAGCTCCACCAACCCTGAGGGCTGGAAATCAGGGTAATGATTTAAATAGGACCTCCTTGCACTCTCTCTGCTCCACCTGCATGTTTTAGTCCAAGGCCAATGTTTTTTTGTTTTTTTTTTTTTGCTTTTTTTCCCCCCTCCTTCATCCATTGTCCACTCCCTCAATCATGCACACAAAACATGTGTAGAACCAGGATCTCTGGCAGCCCAGGGCGGTTAGGAAGCACACTTCAACCTTGTACATCACTGTGTTGGTGGGGGTGGAGGTGAGGGAGTGTGGGGGCTCCAGGGGTCACATCTTTAAAGTAATAGTTAATCACCAAGTGCTCAAATTCAGTTAGCAGCAGTGGAGCAGAACAAAGCCAAGAGTGCACAGCAGGCACAGAAGCATATCTGGCTGCTTGATTAAGGCAGAAATCATTGTCATAATAATTTTTAGTCTAAATGAAAGCAGAAAGTTTTTATTAATCTTTCACTTTGCTATGAGTGGAACTAAACCTGCCACAGCCTGACTGCAATTTCCTTTCAGCAAAGCAACGAAGGCATACCGCTCCGAAACACTGGGACTTTCTGGGCTCAATGCACAAGTCTGAACTAAAGTTGTAATTTTGAGAAACAAACCAAAAAGAAAAAAAAAAGCTTTATCTCAGTTATCTAGATGTCATAATTAGAATTGAACATAAGAAGTCATAATTGCTCTGGCTTACAACCAGATGTGGTTATGTGGTGGCTAGTTTGCCTGCAGGATTTATGACTGATATGCATGAACATTTTCGTCAGGAGGCAGAGTGAAGCGGGGTGTGTGTGATTAACTTTTGATGACAGTCCAGATCTTGATCTGGGGATTTTTTTGTACTTATCCAGCCTTAGTGAAGGCATGCAGTTTGCATGTTATCGTGTGTGTGTGTGTGTGTATGTGTGTGTATGTCTTTCTCTATGCCTGTGCTGTAATCACTTCTCTGTTTTTACTGCAGAACATTCCAACTTTGGGAACAGTTGCTATAACCATGGCGCTGCATAACTGTGACGAGGTGGCGGTGGCTGGCTTTGGCTACGACATGACCTCTCCTCAAGCACCTCTGCACTACTATGAGAGCGTCAAGATGTCTGCCATTAAAGAGGTGAGTTACATCTTCTCTACCATTTTTATTCTGAACATGACAGAATTCTTTGATTTAAATCATGGAAAAATGGGAAGGCATATTACTTCTCAACAGAGTCTGCAACCTTTCCAGTCCAAAGAGCCATCTTATCCCTCAGTCCAGCTAGATGAAACCTGTTTAGACCAACTGATGTTATATGAGCTTTTGGAAAAAGACAACATAAATTTGTCATATCTAAAGAACCACCTTGTTATTTCTATTTTTAGGTTTTAAAATGAAGAAAAGTATAAAACATTTGCAAAAATAAAAAGCATTGTTTTTAAAATTGTAATTTTTAACCTAATGACAAGTTAAACGGATGTAACTAATATTACTGGCACATTTAGTCATTCTATTGTGAAAATGTAACACAATAATTCTATGAAGAAACTAGAAGCTGATAAAACCTGCATTTATGTTTAACAACTATAGCATAAAACATTCTTGTTGATTCTTTATCCTCTTTAGCAAAGCAGTTGAACTTTTATTAAAAATGGTTTTAGCTTTTTTTGTTAAAACTGTCTATGTTGGGACAGTAGGACAGTATAACAAGAGATGGATCAGTAGATCACCTGTTAAAACATATAAATCAGTTAAGCAATGTGCAAGCTTTTGCATTTAAATAATGCAGTCAAAAAATGTAAACCAATAGCCACGCACACATTTTATTAAATAAATAAATAAAATTCACATTATAATAAATGAGTAGATCTTCAGACTAGGAATGGACTCCTGTGGAAAAGCACCTTAAGAATCCTTAAATGGACAACTTTCTTACCAGGGTCTGAATGATGCTCTGTTTGATATCTAGGTTTAGTTGGAATATATATTTTTGGATTGATTTTTTTATTATTATTTTAAGTGAGATGACATATTGTAAATTTGTGCTATTAATCAACTGAATTGAATTTGAAAGAATCTGTGAGATACAGGATATTTCAGCTTAGCTTGTCCATGTGTTGTGGTGTTTGTCTAAATTTATGGTGATCTTGAGGGCAAAAAGCTATTAAGGTTAAGATTAACTAGTTAATGTTTCATAAACTTTATGCTTTTCTTTTAGATCATTTCTGTTCAATTTCAGTTGAAGGATGATCTAAGTTTTTTCATAATATAATATGGAAATGATGAAATTCACTGGAAATCGTGAACTAGTCCTTTAGTGCTGATGGGGAAAATTTTAGCCTTATTTTTCCAGTGCTTACAAATCATTCAGAAATTGTTTAAACAGTTGCCCAGTTATGTTTTGTCTTTACAAGTTCCCAAATGTTTCAAAGATATTAGTATTAGAAGAAACTTGTATGCGACCAATCGATTTTTTTAAAGATCAGTGATCAGACAGAAAATTGCAATCGCCCTCACCACTGTGCATGTGACATGCATTCCATTCATCTGAATTCTTTCATTCAGGCCATAAGTTTGGAACTTTGAAGTTTTATAACCACCATACTGGAGCTGTCCAGGTTTGGTGCTAGTGATCAGAGGAGAAATCCTAAAAAAGCAGTTATCAGATTTTTTTTTTCCTCACTGATGTCTTTATTTCTTTGTATTACTACCTTCTAGATATTCAGTCAAAGCTAACAGGTTAATAAAATAATGAGTTAATAAATTCCACAATGGCAAATCTGATATCAGAGCAACAGATGGAATGATTTCCCAGGGATCTTTCATCAGCCTTTATAACATCGGGTGTCGTTTGATCACTCTGAACACAATCAGTCAGTGTTTCTCTGCATGTTTACACTGGGATACAGGGGAATCGGAGATGTCACCCATGTGCTGATGAGTGTAAACCATGAGCTCAGTATGATGATAACCTTTGTCTAAACTCCCCGTGAACCTTTGGCATTTATTATCGTCGTCTTCATCAACACTGTCATCAACTGCCACAGGAAGCTAAATAATGGGAGCGCCTTTGTTTGGAAGCTGAAAAGCCAAACTTGCAGCCACTCAGTGGGGTTATTATTTGCTCCTAAGGAACCACGCAGCTGTGAAACCATCTGCGTAGAATGAAGCTGTTTGTCACAGAGGGTGATATTCCTGACCCAAATATCGGGATCCCACTTACTTCATCAAATGTTCGATATTTAAGCTTTGACTCTGCAGTACCACATGGACGCCATGTGGAGTACGTGATGCTGCGTTTGATCCACAAGCTTCTTGAATCATTTCATAGTTGATACAAAGTCACTTTCCAGTTCATCCAGCTGTTTCAAAACAAATGATGTGTATCAGTGTAAAAGGTGATTAGATCAGTGTTCTGTCATCAAGCTACACCACCCTTCACTGTTGCTTCATTCCTCTTTGCTTTCTAAGCTTTTAGCCTCAATGTTATGCCCTTTTACCTTATTAGAATGTTATAATTCTTTTTTTTTAAAGATTATACCCAAATAAATAATTCTAGAATAAAAGCTAAAACATCTCATCACTGCACTGCATCAGTGAAATAACATTTACTTCTATTAGGTTTCTCTCTAAGCCTGATCATTGATGTGATAACAGCAGATTTTCTTCAGCATACAGCAGAGGAGCCATGTGAAGCAGAGAGTGCAGCAGCTTGTGTTGCCTTTTCAACAAGTTCAAATAAACGGGCTCCACCTTTGGATTACTCATAAGTAATTCATGTGGAAGAAAAAATATGTTTATACAGGATTTTAGTAGTGGTGGGACTTTATTAAAAATTCTTAATTAATCACATTTTAATTGAAAGCTAAATATTGACAAAATAAGCAACGTTTTCAATTCAACAACCCTTTTTGTTGCTAAACTATTCCACAAAAGGACATATGAGCTCAATAACAAAGATGCTTATTGTTTTTTATCTGTTATTTGGGTCATTATACCCATTCAGCTTTCAAGTATTTCAGGAACCCCGGATTATTATTTGAACACATTAGTCTGGATGAAGTTTGTGTGTCAGATTTACAGACATACCAAAAACGAGCTAATAGAGAAGTTCCAGCCCGAATCTTAAAAAATAATAATAATCAACCCAAAATTCAGTGATGCATCAGTCACTCTGTGTCCCATGACCAAACAAATGCCACATGACCAAACCCTCCCTCCATGAACACAAATGCCAAGAACATGGAAATAAATAGCAGTTGGTTATGTCAGGCTTACTAATCAGTATGGTACGGATATGTCATCTATGTGTTCATGTTCACGACGTTCGTGCCGATAAGTTGTGCTTCAGTTGTCCATAGTTGAATGGTTGGTTTTATTTGTGCCTCAGAAAAAAACATAAAACATAGTTTTGACTGAAGAAAAAATAAAGACATAAAAATTCGGAAATTATGCTGTGTAATAATGTGAAAACGTACCGAGACTTTGTTGAGAAAAATCTGCTGCCACCTACCAGAAATATGATGATGAAACGAGTGTTGACATTTCTACAAGACAGTGATGCCAAACACAGAACCAAGGCAAAACTTCAGAGAAAGAAAATACAGTTGCCAGGATGGCTCAATAAATCACCTGACTTGAATCCAATTGAAAATCTATGGGAAGAACTAAAAATGAGAGGCCTACAGAACCTTCAAGATTTAAAGACTGTGTGGAGTAATGGGGTAAAATTACACCTGAGATATGCATGCTGAGCGTTTCTACATCCAGGAGGCGTAACCAACAAAAACTTTTGTACAAAGAATTAAAAAAATATCAGTAGGTTTGTTCAGCAATTTTCCCCTCTGTTATTTTACACATAACTTAATTTTTTAAGTTATTTGTTTGGGTTTCTTTCTATGCATGGATTACAGGGGTTGTTACCAACATCTGGTGAGCATTTCATGTCAATAGCACCTTTAGAAATTTTTTTTACTATGGCAAATTGCAATGTGTTGGATACTTATTTTACCTATTATACATAGAAATTCCCACATCATGAAGAAATGGGAATAATGAAATGCTAAGCTAACCCAGAGAATTGTAGTCTAAGGGATGTTCAGAACTTGATCACCTTCCTTCTGGACTTGTGATTCTGTATCCACTTAAATCTCTTTCCTGACTTTTTCCCCTTGCAGTCTTGGACACACAACATAGCCAAGGAGAAGGAGTTCCTCCGCAAGCTGGTAAAGGCCAACGTTATCACAGATCTCACCAAAGGTATCTGAGTTTATACCCAACTCCAGCCGCCTTCCGCCATTTCTGTCGGAACAACGAACTGAAAGCTGGATTGACTCAAGAAGCAGAGAACTGGTCCCCCTTACCTCCTTAAGCCAGGCCTGCTCACTGCCGGGAGTAGAAGGGGGTAACTATCAAAGAAGTTTCTAAGAGTTTTGTTGAAAGATGCACTCATGTGCCTTCAGAACCAAAGACCCCTGCTTATCAAAGCAGGGGCAGAACAGGCTGCAGGAGGATTGGATCTGCCTGGCACCTGTTGAAGTATTGCTGTGCTGGGCCCATCACTATAAAGTATCACACACCTGAAATGGAATGGTAACAGTGAGAGGACAGCTGAAGGAATGAAGCGAAACTGAACAATGTGATGGGTCGAGTATTAGCAGTGCCAAATGTACCTCGCAAAGGGGAGAAGACTCCCCCTCTCCTGTTTTGTCTGAATGTATTCTCTCTGTAAATATCAAAGATTTGTACTGTGCTTTTTACCAAGCTGCAGTAGCTCCATGATCACATCCGCCTCCTTCCATTCATTCAGTCATCATCTATTCATCCTTTTCTGTGTTCAAGTGTAAGTCCTTCCAAGCCCACTGGCATCACACCACCTGCTGCGTAAAGTGGCAAAATCATAACGGAAGGCATAGTGAGAGGTATGGACTAGGGGTTGCACGGCTTCATGTTTGTTAAAGCTGATGTCGGTATGGTAAAACTTGAGTCGACATCGACTGATCACTGTGATGTCATAGAAACACATGAGAAAATGCTTCACATTAGCTTACAGGCTTTACTAGCCTGTAAGCTAATAAAGAGTGGCAGTCTTGGACACACAACATATCCAAGGAGAAGGACTGATGTCTGCAGGAATATTTGTCAATATTCACAGCAGATATTGACAAAAGACCACTTAGACAGAAGTTTATTATGATGATTTAAAGTAACAAGAAAAACAAAACATCATCTCGAACTTGTTCGGCGGCAGCAGAACAGAGCTGCTGTCGGTCACTGTGGCAGCAGCTCTGCTGGTACTGATGAGCAGAATGATAATCTTGAATAGCTGCACATAAATGATGTTCCAACCTGCACAGACGTCCATGTTCAGACAACAGAAGCTAAATATATTATAAATAAATCACGGTTTCTAATGAATTTACAGTTTAAATCATTGCTGCTCCTCCACCCCAATGCGCAGCAGGATCCTCCAGTGACTCAGGGCAGCAGCTCTCTGACTTTGCAGGATGAACCGGCACATAGACGACAGCAGGGATAGACTGTCAGATCTTCAGAATGCAGCTTGAACTACGTCTTCAGGTGTTCTCACAGTATTTTTCTAAGCATAAAACCATTCATTTTAAAGGTTTTATTAGCTCTAGTTTATTTGGCTCTCACTTTATTTGATAGTGAATTGACAGGAAAGTGGGTAATGAGAGAAGGGGAAGACATGTGGCAAAGGTCATCAGGCCGGGAATTGAACCTGCGATGGCCGCGTCGAGGACTAAGGCCTCCATATGTGGGTTGTGCTTAACCCACATATGGAGGGTTAAGCACATATGGAGGGTTAAGGCTTGCCCCTTTTGTTTGTTCATTTTTTTAAAGAACAAACAAAAGGGGCACATGACATGTGGCAAGGAACCGAGGATGGGAGTTGAACTCATAACAGCCGCCGTTTGCAGCCTCTGTATACGGGCTGTCTGCTCTAATCACAGCACCATGCAATGGCCTTATTCTGGTACCTCTGTGTTAAATTAGTTTGGATTGTATAAAAATACAATCCAAACTAACAAACTCACCTAATTCCGCATCTTTCTTCTTCTTGGAAGTGTCAGTTTTGTCACGTGATTGCGATTAGTCGACTAGCCACATAAAAGGAACACGGCAGAGTAAGGAATCGACTAGTTGGTGCAACCCCTAGTTTTGACCCTATGTCACCTCATCGTGTTGAGACACCATGACGGATATAGGAAGTGAGAGAAGTGAGAGCATTGAACAGAGTTATGATTGTTTTCCCAAGTTTTTTTTTGCCAGCATAGCAAAAAAAAAACTTGTGCTTTTACTTGTTCTAGTCGGGCTAAGTTTGGATTTCCTTCTTGTCAGTTTGTTATGCTTGTGCTCAGCAGTCTGACCATTTCTATAGTGAAACCCACAACATGGACATGATATTAGGTTACAAACTATGTTTTTTCACAAACTTTACAGGAGTTACCATGTGGGTAGGTTGTTTTGACGTCCATCATGGCGGAGTGTTACGCTTTCTGAAGAGCATGTCGTCACATGCAAAGGGTCAGTTATTCAAAGACAAACGTTTGGAAACTGAAGTAAATTCATATCCATGTTTTTCATCTCTGAATTGAACCAGAAACCTGAACATTTCTCACTCTCAAGGACAAGTCTGTTCTTATTGGAAGACCCTTCCTGTTGCAGATTCATTATTTAAAAGAATTCTCTCACTCCTCCAGAGCATTTAGCCTATATATATATATCAATATCTACTTTTAGCCACATATCTGAAAGGTTAGACGCCATCAACATCCAATACTGAAGAGTTACGACTAAGCACTAAGGTAGATCTTTGTTCAGTGAAGAAACTGTAACGATATCTATTATGATTTGATTCATATCTTCATCACTGCATCAGCTGTAAGCGTTCCCACCCAGATCAGTCAGAGCTCCACCCTGCTCACCTATAAGACGCATGTTTCAAATCCCCTACTGCTGCAGGTTTTGTGTTCTTTATTAAACGGTAAAATCTTGGGTTGTAGAAAATAAATATATATCTATTTTTTGTTGTTGTTGGGTTGATTTTGATTATTTATTTTGTTACCAAATCCCCTTTCCGTGGTCACAGGTTGACCGGCTTCAACCAAACTCAAATACGAGCAGCTTTGAGTTTGGGGAATCTCGATTCCCGACTGTGCTTCCTGAAGACACTTGGTATGATCTGTTGGAGACGCAGCGTTCTGATGGAACCCGTGTCCGTTCCAGTGTCCCGCTGCATTAGAGAGAAAAATTTAAGGAATCTGAGGTTGATGGAGCTCCAATTCACTTAGTACTGATCTGATCTGTGCATTCTGGCAGGTTCTGCTCCACCTCAGTATTTAAAAAAAAAATCAATCAAACAAACATTCTTTTTTTGTTTCCGCTGAACGTCTACAATTGTTTTGTAGCTGTGTAAGCTTTAATCAGCTTACACGGCAGGCTGCTTTTATAAAGCAGTCTGTCTGTTTTCAGGTTTCAGCTGGTGTTTGGTACATCGTTTACATCATCTCAGACTGTCTCCTCTCAAACACTAAGCTCTTGCTGCGTCTGTTGTCTGAATATTTTGTTAAGTTTCATGCGGCAGTGTGTACTCTGGTGTTTGGCAGAGGTCCTGGTTTGGAACAAAGGTACATCAACAGATGACCTTTGAACTGTCACAGTGCTATCATCGGGGGCCGCAGTTGACTCAGTATGTGGGGCATGAACAAGGCGGAGCGCTTAGCATATCTGCAGCAGGTCTGTTGTTGAACTGGCAGTGTCTTTAGCTTGTATGTTTCAAATTGAAGCTCTGCAAAAGGGTTTCTGTTTTGTGCCTTTTTATAGATGGAAACAGGAGCAGGAGGAATGAGAACAGGTCAGAGCGCAGTCTCCTCAGACTCCTGGGTATTGGCTCTAATTGGAGTAGGATCAGTCTGAAATGTTCCCTAAAACCAGCCAAACGTCCATCACCGTCTGCAAAGCTCTGACCTCTGAGTTAACTTTTCCCAATATCATATTATGGAGGAGTTTTTATGGATTGAATCTGAATAACCCCTTCATTGTGCCCCAACCACTCATGGATTGTCTGTAATGAGGTGGAATGTATTTGCTTGAGTTTTTTTTTCTGATCATTATATTTATAAATCTTTATTTTTCAACATTGCAGCATAAGTGGAAAGTGACAAATCAAGTATTTCTCTTTTTGTACAGTTATACAGTTCTGTATAACAGCTTTAAACAATTCAATAAATAAGTTCAAACACATGTCGGCGTGTTTGTCTCTTTATGCTTCACAAAATCATTCAGAAACCATGAAGTACTCAGATTTTGTCAGAAACCTTTAGGTATTAGAGTGGAATTTTAGGACATTTTTTTCATATTTTGTCTTGTTTCAATCACAAACATCCCTATGTTCTGATGTGATTCGATTTGATAGATCAGCACAATAGTGCATAGTTGTAAAGTGGAGACCAAAATCTAACAGGTGATGTTCGTTTGTATTCAGTCCCACCGGGTCAGTACTGTGCAGAAGCATCTTTCATTGTAATTCCAGCTGTAAGACTTTTGAAATGTATTTCTACTCACTTTGCACATCTAGAGACTGTATTTGGAAGGAAGAATTGACCACTGCTAAAGTTCAAGCTTCAGTTGAGTCTTCTTCCAGATCGTCGATTTGGATTTAGGTCCGAACTTTTTCTGGACTGTTTTGAAGGGTCATACAGTGCAAAACAGTTCTAGTGCCTAAAAAAATATCATCCAGTCCTTTTCTGGCAATAAGTTAGATTTTTTGGTACCTGGAAAACAATCCTTGTCAAAATGTTTCCAAAAATAACAAATCAGTGAGTACTGCCCCTCATCTGGCAACTCAAAGGGAGCGCCGCTCACTTCATTATTTGTGCAATGGCTGCTGGAAAAGGCAAAAGTGTTTAGTTGTTGACTTACCATCCAGAAACCACTGCTACATCCTTGATGCTTGTGCAGGAGACTCTACTTCTTCTGCTTCTGGGTCTGACTCAGTGTCAAAGATGTATACACGTCGACCACTGTGCATGCAGCTATTTACATGTGAATAAAGCACCAGTATAAACAATGAGTTGGGGTTTTGGCCAGCAACAGTTTATATGCTGGTCACAGCAAATTCAAAATACAAGTAACTACAAAACTCAACAATATATGGCTGGAGGCGCCCCTCTGGGGGTAGGAGCACACCTGCATCATACATCAAAACAAATTAATGATAATAAAAATCTTCTACAAAAGGACATTCACTTCAATATGTTAATTAACAATTATCCACATTTTCTGGTGCCCCTAACTAGGAAGTCCATGGCAATTATAACAACCTTTATATTTTTGGAGTGAAATCAAAGTTTGAGGCTTGGCCATGTCCCTTCAACATGCAAAAAGTCAGAATTGTCATAAATTTAGATCTCCAGTGCCTTATGAGCAATCTGATTAATTTTCAAGCCAAAAAAATCAAAACCTCTAAGAGTTCAACCAAATGGAGGCTATGAATGACCAAAATGTGTCAAAATTCCAAGTTCATCCATGGTGGATGATTGCCTGTTTGTTGTAGACGGTGGGTGTAAGACTGTTTATGTAGGTCTTGGGAAGTTCTACAAGTGTATCTAGTTTCATATCTCTATGATAAAGGGAGTTTTGAATGTTGCAGTGGGGCGCTCTTGAGGTATTTCTCTTTAAATTTTCAGCAAGTCTGATGTGTTTCACAACATTCAGTGAGTTTTTGTTTAGGCCTCCAAAAAACCAACTAATTTGTGGAAGGAATAAAAAAAACACTGCAGTTACAACAGATCTTCACAACACACCTAAAAACCTCAGCTGCTTACCTTCCACTATATACTTGCTCACTACTTTGTGTATGTCCACCACAAAGACAATAATGCCAAAAGCATGCATTAATGCTTGTGGTTAAGACACAATGTGGAAATGTTCAAAGGGGCAAAACTATTGGTTTGTGTAAGGACTTTGAACTTCTCCTGTGTGTTCTGGCTCCTTTCTGCCGTGTGTCATCTATCTGACTGCTTGAGGCCGTCACATCTTGACGGCCTCAAGCTACAGAGTCCAGCTACAGAGTGTGTCCTGTAGCTGGACAGCCTTATGGATCGGGTATAAACCGTCTGTCAGTCTGTTTCAGAGGTGATAAACTGCAGGAAGCTCCGTGACCACGGAGCGATGGGTCGGGCAGCTCAGAGAAATCCAAACTGCACTGCTAGGAAAAATCATTTTGAAGTTCTACACAGCTTCCATCTTCAGGTCTTTTTCCACACCACTCACCCTGTTCCTCACAAACATTCCTCCTCCTTTCCTCATAATCTCTCATTATGTTGTTGTCGATCTCTGTTTTTCTCAAGGCCAAGTAGCATCTTGTTTTACTGAAAGCCACAAGGAACCCATCTGAGATTGTTTTACTCAATAAACAGAAGGGAACATCATTCTGCAGCCTTGAAACTTTCACCAGCCTGCTGCATCATTAGAAAGCAACTGGACTCTACAGGGAGAGAGGGCTGACCAGCTGCAGACGACTGTTTTTGAAGTGAGCGGACAGGACGCAGAGGACTCCTAAAGCACCTCTGGACCGTCCCATCCTGCTGTTAATGGGGTGCCAGAAATGTTCAGCCCCAACAAAGTCACGCCTCACCGTTTGCCGCAACCACCAGGCTCCAGCTACACTGACCTGACAGATTTCCTGAGCTCCACAGGGTGGGATCGAATGCTCACTCCCTGCAGCAGCAGAATATTTGCCACCTGGGATCTCCCTGAGGCAGCTGGCCAGGCCGGCTGGCTGGAGGCGCTCGGTCCTGTTAGTCTGGTAGACGGGGGTAGGAGCACGCCTGCACCTCCTCAGCTGGTGAGCCTGTTATTCTCTACGACAGGTTTCCCCCTCCTGCCCCACCTCTTCTCAGAAGGGCTGGAACTGAGAGGCCACGACCTCCGGGCCTGAAATTGAAACTGCTCGTAAAAAGAGTTGGGAAAGGAAAAGAAAACACCCACCAAAATAATCCAGCAGACCTTATTATTTATCTTTGACTCCGTTTACCTGTTTCTGGATCAGCTGAGATGATCAGTTTACCTCCTTTACATGCAGCACACCTACAGGCCCATCTTGTGTCTGCAGCACTCAACCAAATTAATATTTGTTACTTAAAACAATGTTGATGTCTTTGTCTGCCAAAGGCAAACCCAAGTTTCAAAGCTGGCAGAATTATTTAATTAACATGTTTTAAAGGGGTATTTTCTAGACATAGTTCACATCCTCTAACATAACTGCTATCCTGTGTGCAAAACCAGGTTCATAAAAGCATGGATGAGAGACTTTGGTGTGGAGGAACTTGGCTGGTCTGCACACAATCCTGTCCTCTACTTGAAGGAACACGTTTACAATTAATTGGAGGAAGCTGTGAGGTCCAACATCAGTGTCTGACCTCACAAATGTGCTTCTGGAAAAATGGACAGAAATAAATTTCCATAAACACTTAAATTGGAGAAGTCTTTTCAGACAAGTTGAAGCTGTCCAAAATGCCGTGGTGGACTGAGCTTCGTCTCTGAGCTGCAGTTTCCAAGCTTCTGACTCTCAGAGCAGCTGTCCGCCATAACTCCCCCACTCAGCTCCTTCAGACTGGCCAGTAGCAATTAGCAAACACCCAGAGGAACTGCTCATCTGCTGAGCTCATTCAAGCTACTTCTCAGAGAGAAACTGGTAAAAAAAAAAAAACATTGTTAAAGCCTTAATAAAGGAGCCATATTGTGATTACTTTTTGAAGGCGGAGTTTCAGAAAGAGTTGGAGTTTTTAAAGAGACAGAGACCCAATTTCAGGCATAATAACTATGGTTTACTATAATAAGGATTAAATGTGCTGGCTCTCCGGTTGGACAACAACTTCAAGCTACACTCCACCATTACCGTCCATGTTTACTTCCGCAAACAATGAGAATTCTTCTACTTTAAGGAGGTTAGCAAAACACTGAGGACGCTCACTATGTGTGACGTCACCGCGCCCTCTACTGCGCATGTGGGACACTTTTAGATTGTTTGTGGTTCACACAGGAGATCGCTTACAAGTCACAAAAAATTTTAAATGTGAAGAACCACGCAAAAAAAATGAATTTCAGTGTGAACATAGCCATAGTTACTTGATTGTGCTATAAAAAGGCACTATGTGTAAAATACAAAATATGGCCCTTTAAATATTTCTAATCACATCTGGAGGAGCAAAGCTTTTCTTTCTCCTTTCTATCCTTCCTCCAGCATCACCAACACTGCCACACCCTTCCCACATGTCCACCCTGACCTCTGCTTGGATGGATCAGGCCGCCCAAGAGGCCCGGACCTGCTCCATCTATCTATAGAAACCACTGTGCGCATCCCAAGAGGTAAGAGAACATTTCGGAATGCAGAGTGAAGTTTCACCAGATGCACAGAGAAAACACAACAAGTCCAACAATCACGATTCCAAGTCCAATTCTTTATTCTTAAAAGGAAATGAAACATTCCTCTCCGGCTGTTATGTTGCCGTCTCCTGCCAGAGAGCCGGTCTGTTCTGGCTCCGTGTGTGTGGCTGTGTGTATGCGTGTGTGTTGCTCGGATGGGGTTAATTGTGGGTGTAGGAACAGTGTCACGGTGCAAATCCCTTTCAGAGAGCCGAACAAGTTCCCCAGCATGGCTAAGAGTGTCGCATGACGGCGGCACCCTTCACACCAGCTCACACACTTCATCCATTTGTGCTTCCCTGAAATTCTGCCATCTGCTCTTTGAGGCAACTTATTAGGAGAACTTTCAATGATTTGAAATCCTTTATAAAAGAGAACTTTAAAGCTGGAGTATGTAACTTTTATAGAAAATATGTTACAATTTCATTAAAACTGTCACAGTGTCATGAGACAAATAATCGGTGAAAAGATGGATCCACCTCCTCCTTGAGCTACTATTGCCGCCTGAATGATTGCACCAATCCCAAACAAAAGAGGAGTGTCTTAGCGCTGTCAATCAACCTTGTGTACTCACTGCTGAAAGTGCTTATGGCGGAGAAACAACTTGAGGTTACAGAAAGACTGTTTATCCACAGGCCATGGTAGCTAGCCTTAGCATTTACAACAGGCTCCACTAGCTGCAGCATAGCAAATAACAATGGAGGGGAGGGAGAGATGGGGATGAGCAGCCACATACAGTGATTTACAGCGCTAAGACCCGCCTCCTGACTCTGATTGGTTGTTTCTAGTTGGCACTGAGAGAAGACGGAGGAGCGCTGTCATGGTGACAGTTTTAACAAACATGCAAAAATTACATACTGCACCTTCAAGTCACAGCAGTTGGACTTCAGCGTTTAGGTTTGAAATTTCTATAAATTGACCTTGAAGCGTTGCTAAAGTAGTAGAATTGTCCGACCTTTGTAGGCTGTTTTTGCACTCATCCTCATTATCTAAGCGAACATTCCTGCATGTCAGCCACCTCAGCTGTGTGCATTGTTGCTTGCTACTATTATTAGTGGCGTGGAAGAGAGCAGGGAACCTCCCTGCATTTGTCTGTGCCTCAGCACAGAGAGTGGGCCTGGAGAAGGCTGCTGAGGAGCTATTTACTCAGCCTTTGTGCCTCTATGTTTGCCCAGCAGGGAGTGCCGGGGCTCAAAGGCCCTAGCATGTGGTCCATCTGTGGGTGGGTGCTCAGAGAAGAAAGAGCAGAGATGTATGGGACGAGCCGTAAAGGTGGCGTGTGACACTTTCCTGCTCCATTCATCCATCCTTCAGGTTCCATGGCAGGTGTTGGGGTCAGAGGTCAAAATGTGTGCTCTCAGTTCTTTACATAGATGAAAAGTATCACCAAGGTGCAAAAGCATTTTCTTAGTTTGTAAATCTGAATCTTGAAGTTTTTAAAGAAATTAAGTATTCTCCAGCAACCAAGGCAAGCTGGTACTTTCACTATTCTTCAGCTTTCCAATAAATTTGAATATTACTGAAAAGTCCTATTTATTTCAGGAACCTTATCACTAAGTGAAACACATTACACTGATTAATTAAACACAGATGGTTGTTTGAAAGCCTTTATTTCTGTTAATTCTGATGATTTTCAGCTATTAAAAATATTTAAAATTAGAATATTATATTACACCAATAAAACAAAAACAAGCAAAAACATGCTTATTGAAAAGTATGTTTAATACCTTACTAAAGGTTGTCAACTTTTTAAAGGTGCTTTAAAAAATCTAAAAAGTGTGGCAAGCATTTGTAATAAATCCCACTGAATCAATAATCTATTGAACTGCTTAATTTAGAATAAATCAGATTGAATGGAGAGCATCTGTAGACATCAGATTCTCAACTAGACTTTGATTAGACCATGCTAGCACATGAATGCCATCACCACTGTTTTGATTAAAACCAGCGTTATCCAAAGTTTATCTTCAAAGGTTTTTTCCTGACAGTTTTGATGTTTATTTATCAGCGCGTCAGAATCAAGCCATCGGTTAACTAAGCCATTTGGAACTGCAGTGTTGAAACAGGATCACATTTAAAATATTCACCACACCGACCCTGGAGGAGCAGAGCTGGGAAGCCTCAGATGTGAACCATCCCACAACCATGGCTTCATTTTCAGGCTTGACCTGCTGGATGTTGAAACTTCGCCCCTGTCTTAAGCCTTCTTAGCTTCGAACAACTTTTCTTCCAGGACTACTCTGCATTAAGTTCCATCCATTAACTCCCACCAGCTTCCCTTTCATTGATGAAGAAAATCCTCCTCTTGCCATATTTCATGCTTTAGCCTAAAGGCCAGAAAGTTAGAATTTGATCTCACCTGTTCAGATCACCTTCTTCCACGTATTTGCTGTGTCATGAGCTGTGGTTTTGGTAATCTGCAGCAACCAGAACTTTTTTTATGCTTTTTGGCCAGATTTGCAGAGCACATGACCAACAGTTTTTTTTTTTTTTTTTTTTTTTTTTGGGCGTTCTGAGTTTTGGATTTCTGCATGTCCTCTGGTGTTACCATGGGCCTCTTCTCTGATGCTCACTCAGTGAAGGTGAACATCCTTGTCTTGGTCTGAAGTGGTTCCATCCTATGCTTGTCCAGATGATGGGTTGAACAAAGCTCTGTGAGGTGTTGGAAACCTACTTTAAACTTCTCCATAGCTTCACTGACCGACCTGTCTGCTGTGGTTTTGGTTTGCATGATGCTGTTTGTTCTCAAATGTTCTTCACTAAACGGCTGGATTCACGCTGAACACAGTGAAGTTAAATGTATTCGTACAGCACATTTTAGCAACAAGGCAGTTCAAAGTGCTTTGCATTATAAAAACACCACAATACAAAGTCATAAAAAACATAATACAGTCATTGGTTATAAAACAACCAATAAACTTCACATTAGACAAATTTCATCATCAAAATCACCAAGCAAATATACATCAAACATAATTAAGTGTCCAGTTATTAATAATGAAAGGAAACTCTAAGCAAAAACTCAGTGTTTCGACTGTTCTGCAGTTTTCTGGAAATTTGTTCCGGATTTGTGGTGCATAGAAGCTGAAAGCTGCTTCTTGTTCAGTTATTTATAAACTACCAACAGTATTTTAAAGTCTATTCTCTCAGTGAAAGACTTTAGAACTGGGCGATCTGCTCTATCTATGTGGTTTTAGTCAGAACACCAGCAGCAGCGTTCTGGATCAGCTGCAGCTGGAGGATTGACTTTTATAGGCAGACCTGAGAATACACTGCTGCACTAATCAATGCAACTAAAGATAAACAATGAGTTTCTCTAGATCTCGCTGAGACATTAGTGCTCTAATCCTGGAAATGTTCTTCAGGTGATAGAAGACGGAATTTGTAACTGTCTTTGTGCGGCTCTGAAGGTTCAGGTCAGAGTCCATCACTACACCCAGACTTTATTTATTACTCATTGGGTGACTTTTGAAGGCACAGAGTTTCATTTGGGGGTATCAGGAAAAAAAAAAAAAAGAAAAAACTATGCAACCGTTTTCCGGATTTATTGTAGAGACGTTTAGCGTGCTGCTCCTTCTCGGAACTCCTCCTGAAGTGTGTTCCAAGTATCCAGAGACTGCCATCCGTTTGGGGCCTTGAGTCTGTCAGGAGTCTAAACGAGCAGCTGAGAAAACAGTCAACAACAGATCCAGAGTGTTTAAAATTGATGCAGCAACGACCACCGTTCAGTCTGGGGGTTTCGGCTCAGTCCTGCACAACACACACAAACACGCGGGCGCGCGCGTTAGATCCTTGGAATATGCACGGGGTCCATCCCGTACCGCGCTCGTGCGTGCGGAAGCCAACGCGCTCTACATTTATCCAGATCGAGAGTATAAACAGTGAAGGACAGATGTCTGCTGGCAGATTCTTGAACAGAAACGCTCCCTGACTGGCCCGTGTGACAGCTGCCCCCTACACCTCTTCCCCCACCCCCGCTCCCAGCAGCAGGAACAAAAAGACATCTGAGACATGTGGATGGGGAGGAAAATTGAGAGCACTTTGTGAGGCCGCCACCACGCTCCAGTTTCATAAGGTCTCTGTCTGTCAGGCGAGGCGCGCTGTTTTTACGCATCGCATCCATTCCTCTCTGTAGCCGCACCGAGCTCTGCTGGGAGAAGACAGAGCGGAGGAGCTGTCTGTGGATTCACACCAGTTCAGAACTTTTGTGTGTGTGTGTGTGTGTGTGTGTGTGCTAATTTATTCATGTGTTTAATTATAGATGCGTGTCTTTCTACTCGCGTTCTTGGAGATGAGGGAAAAGAACTGCGTAAAAGGCGCGATATGGGCAGATCTCGGAGAATATTTTTTACAACCCTTTCAACTTCCCAGCTCAGATCGCCACCTGATGCGTGAACAGGAGAAACGGCGGACTTCAGAGTGATCCTGGCACGGCGGCACTCCGTACTCGGACACCCAGAAACCGATCCGAACTCTTCTCCAGACAGACACGCGGGGGCCATTATTTGCGCAGTGTTGTTATTTACTCATTAAGCTCTGTTAGAGGCAAGACTGAACAGGTTGCTGGAAGTAAAGAAAGAGGGAGCCTCGCCTGAAAAACTGGCTTCAGTTCATCAAGCGATGGTGAGACGTGAGTCACCGGAGCGGCACAAGTAGATTGGGGGTAAACAGTTTTTTTCCTCTTCTGGCTGTTTGTCTGTCTGTCCTCCTACCTCCAGGTCCACCTCGCGCTCTGCTGGATTGTTTACGCCGCCGCAAACAAACTCTGGAAAACTGAACTTTATTGGATATAAACTTGGATAATCGTCCAAAATTCCCATCTTTGCGATTCTATTTCCTCCTGAAATGCAACTTGAAATTTACATTTTAAAAAAAGTGGAAAAAAAACACAGTGAAAGTTTCAGTAATGATATACAATTAGTTTCTCTGGCTCTGTGTTCACTATCTACTCTCCCTTTCTCTCTCTCTCAGGGTGCTGAAACTCAACAGGCCAAAGAGGGGAAAACCGCATTCTGGCCGCGCGCACCAAGGCGCGAGGAGGAGGCGCCTCTTCGGCTTTCTCCATGGATTCTTCCAGCCCGCTTCTGCCTCAGATGAGAAATGCTCTGCCGTGGACAGTAGCGAGCCGTGACGCCACGCTGTGAAAACATGACGCACCGCAGCGCGCGGAGAGCCGCAGCAGGCGCGAGCGGCTCTGTTCCTGCGCACCGGGAGCGGATTTCCCACGGGACAGCTGGTAAGGCTTTTTAAGGTCCGGCGACCACATCATTTAGCTGGTTAGCGGTGCGGTTTTGTGTGCGCAATTGTTGAGTGTAGATCTGTGAAAACACTGAGCCGATTGTTTGATGTTTGACTTCCTTTCACTTCGGCGGCTTCTCTTGGCTGAAGCCGGGAAGCTTCCTGCACGCACCTGCCAGCTGCGTGGGACTCAGGGACACACTGACCTGCAGTCAGTTCGCTGTTAATGGAATGCAGTTTTTGTGCTCGGTTTGCATGAGTTCTAGAAAGAAGTGTTTACAAGGTACGAGTGTGAGGGCTGTGAATTGTGGGAAAGTATAAATCCAAAGTGTGTGTGTGTGTGTGTGTGTGTGTGTGTGTGTGTGTGTGTGTGTGTGTGTGAGAGAGAGAGAGAGAGAGAGAGAGGCTTGAAGAGTTTGTGTTCTGTGGTAGGCTGCAAATCCACGAATCAAAGTGTTGCTAATACACTCATAGGTGGGATCAGAGACAGATTAGGCGTTTTTAATGCTCTGGCTTTAGCTAACCAGGGGCAGGGATGCTGCCTGGGGATGTTTAGGATCATGTTGTCATTATCACACCCACCGGGCTCAGCTCCGTGTTCTGTCTGTCCAGAACACACCAGATTTATCTGCGTCAACATGGTAAAGGAATTAGATGATGCCTCACTGAGTCACATACTTACAGATGAACTTTCATACTTGTTCCCTGACTCAGTGACCTGCTGACTCATTCGGTCATGTACATACCCACTGTCACTCAGACACACACGCACACAGAACATGGCAGACCTCTCTCTTCTTTGTGTCTTAAGGCTGTGGCGCTTTTCAAACATGCCTTTATCATTTAAGTTGCTTCACATTTTATCTTCTTACAAATACAAAGTGTAGGTGACTGACCATAAATTCATAACTGTGAATTGGAAAAAGAGACGTTGTCAAAGTGTTTATTTTTTATTTTTATAGAAATCTGAATCGTGTGGCGGGCATTTTTCCAGCCCCCTTTACTTTGGTATTGTGTAATGAGATCCAGTGCAACCGACTGATTCAGAAGTCGAATTGTCATTATTAAATAGAATCCTCCTGTGCGTGATTTAGGTTCGGAACACACCGGATCCGCTTTGGCGTCCGATCCGACAGAAAATCAAGTCAGATGATGTGCAGCAAACAGAAAACATTAAAGTTGGTGGAGCCTGGCAGACCACTCATGATTCCCTGCTACTGCGTCTCCGACTGTCCTACCAAGACACATTTGAGGTCCGCTTTGTTCAGAGAGATGCAGCAGTTTGACGGGAAAGTCACGAGTGAGTCAGGAAGTGAGCTGAAGTAAAGTATAAAAACACATCTGCTTTGGGGGAAAATACAAACTAAAATATTTTACTTTCACAAATATTAAGTACACTTTTCCAGAAGTACAGAAAAAAAATGAAAAGGTGAAACAGTGTTGTTGTTTGAGCTTAACGAGACATAGCTGTCGATTTGAACTCAGGCTGAGGAACAAGAGAATTAGTTAGATTCTTAGGTGGTAGAATCTGCTACCAGTACCAACCATCAAGTTTGACGAATTCTGACTTTTAAGGAAGAGTGACGAGAGGAGAGGCAGTGTAGAAGTCCACCCAAATAAGTTCTGTTTAAAGTTTACTTTAAGCCATGTAGGGGACACACACAGCACATGTGGAAGAAGGCGTCTGGTCAGAAGAGACCAAAAATTATTTTTATTGTCATTAATTCTATCTGAGCTGGAAAAGTAACACTGAACATTGCCTAGGAGAGTCATGGTGATGGCAGCATCATGCTTTTCTTCAGAAGGAACTGGGAAGGTGATGGAAATCTGCTCCATCCATCCCGCTTTGCTTCGTCTCTTCCAGTTTCTTACTCAGCAGGTTGGAAGAAAACCAGTCAGCAAATGAATGTTTTGCCTCCAATCTGACTGAGCCTGGACAAAGAAAAAATATCAAAGTATTCAGTCTGTAGGTGTTCAGAGTTTCCTCTGGAAAAGCTGCTGTTCAAAAAATTAGAGACAAAAAGTTGTACTGACAGAAAACACGTCTCAGTTCTCAAACTCTATTCATGACAGTTTTGGAAAGTTATGCATCATTTCTGTCCACTTCACAGGGATACTTTACTTTGAGGAGATCCAATCCAATCACATTAGAAAATACTGACGTTCGTAATTACGATACAGGAAACAATCCAGGGGTCTGAATACTTTAGCATCAGCTGAGGCATGTCACACATTCTTCACTGAACGTCTGTGAAATGCATGCCAGCCTGAAGTAAACATGCTTTGTTTTCCTTGGTGCTGCAGCCTGTTCCCATGCTAAACAGGAGGACATGCTCCTCGCTTGGGGCATCTCACACCGTCCCGTCACGCCGACGCAGCCTTTACTTCCTCCAATCAGAGGTCACAGGGTCAGCAGCCCCACTGAGGGTCAGGTACAGCAGGCTGGCCTGTTCTCTTTACCACCCGCCTGCTGATGTGTGGTCTGCTTTGTTTTAACTGGCATGTGGCTTTAGTAGAGTTAGCGGTGCTGCTATTTGCCGTTATGGGTTTAACTCTTTGTTGCTCAGTTGCTGGTCAGAGTCACAGAGAGCAGCTTCAACTGCAGACATTAGCTCTTCTTAAGAAGCAGCTGGCAGCTCTGTGGTTGTGATGAGGCTGCTTCTGGCATCTAGCCTGATCATTTTAATCCAAACTCTAAAGGATTCATCTGAATTCAACACAAAAAAGGCAATAAGAGATACTTTTGTACTAAACATGTATTAACTACCAAAGTGTTAAAAGTCAGATGCACCAATTGCAATCTTCTGGCTGATGTTATGAACCGATGTTAATATGAAGTCAGATCTGCCAGTACTGATTTATTTTGTATAAAAAGTCACTAAACATGGCAAGAAAGTTGCTAAGTTGGCAACAGAGTGGTGATTATTGTTAATCGCGGCGCAGACGTGGGTCAGTCATCTCTCACTCTCACTGCAGAGCAGATTTTCATACCTCTGTGGTGCCTATAAGATTGGTTTCACATTTATTGGATGTTCTCCAATCTTCTGAAATTTGACAAATTGCCACCAGTTTATTGACTGATGGATTTATCGGTGCAACGTTATTTAAAAGGTTCTGGTTCTCAGCCGAAGAAATTTTTCACCAGAGTATTCTTCAGTTGTATGAATAGAGAAGGGCAGTGCTGCCCCTTCCCTACCTGTTGCTACACACTGCTGGTCAGCTAACTGAAAAAATGCTCCTAAACATTATGACTCAGTTACAGTTAATTGGGCCATTTCAGTCACAAAGAACAGACAATCATGAACTTAAAGAGCACTACTCATCAGTGTTATTATAGTGACTGCAAACTGACTTCCTAACAGACCGCCTGACTGTTGACATAATATTTAGCAGATGATTATTTCATATTTTTTGCTTAACTTTATTTTTAAATTCAGAATAAACAGAATTTTTTTTTTACATATTATATATAATTTTGCAAGTAGTAATCATCACACATTATATTTTAACTGCAGCTGGCATTCAGATTTAATGCAACAATACAGAAAATTACATTTTATTAAGAAAAATGAAAAAAAAAATAAGTCTTTAATTATGTGTTTTGACGCTCCACGTTTGAAATACCACCTCTTCTCTTCCCCCACAAAGGAAATAATCTTTAGTACTAAACAAAATCTGAAATTTCTGTCATACAAATGTTTCCATCAAAGATAAACAATGATAATGTTTTTATGTCAGAATACAAGGGATGGCAGGTCAAAGTAAAAACACTGTAAATTATACAATATGACTAACATAGGAAAAATAATAATTATACAGATAAAAATTTATAATGCAAAATCTATTGTGTGGAGTTTTGGGCTTTTCTAGATCAATGTTTCTTCTACTTACCATTTCAGAACATAGTTAATTTTACAAATACTAGTGTGATTTCAAGCTTTTTAAAGGCAGAGCATATTAACCAACACATCATGCATAGCTGAAAGCTGCTGATATGCATTAGCTTAGCTTCATTATGAACTGAGGACAACCTGAAATCATTTCTCCCTGTTTTGCATCTCCTGCTGCTGGCGAGATCATAGAGATTCACAGGTTCTGTATAAGGGAGAATGAACACTTGTTTCTTGTTCACAGTCATCAGTTGTGTAAATATTTTCCACTTTTGGTGGTTTCCATTCAGAACCAAAATCATGTTGTGCTTCCAGCTTTGTGGCTATTTTTGTTAATTAACTTCCTACTGAGCGACAGACATGGTTTCAATTTGGACATGATGCATTGACCTCGTTAACATGTAACTTTCTCCCTGTAGCCCTGGTTGCAACATACTTTATGTGCAAATTTAGACAATTTATCTCTCATAATGTCATATAATTCACACACACATAACTGAAAATCTGTAAGTAACATAAGTAGTAAGTCGTGCAAAAGCAACAAAGTCAAAATCAAAACTAGTTCAAGAGTTAAAAGGAAACACATTATGCAAGGTATTATTAACTTAATGTACCGGTAGAAAAAGCTGAAAGTACAAGTTGTACAGTTTGATTTGACAGTAAGATCCCTCATGGACATTATGAGGATCAGTCAGGAATTCATATTTATTCAACAAAAGGCAGTTTGTCAACAGGAATTATATTTTCCTATCATGTACTGTAGCAGTTTCTGTGTCAATTTGCAGTTTTACACCAAATATGTCCAGATTTTAGCCCAGCTGTCAACAAAAATTATGCATGTGGTTTAAAAAATAATTTCAGCAGGTTTACACCACAATTCACCTCACAGTGCTCAATTATTTGGGTATTAAACTTGTAAGTAGTGAAGAACCTTTAAAGGGGACACAAATCCCAGCAGCGCTACATGGAACCCAGTATGAAAACTCGATAATTAGCAGTAACGTTTTTGGTATCCAAATTTATCCAGATTCATGATGTGTATGTTGAGTTCAACTGCAGTAGTAGAAACTAGGGGTGAAAAATTGGATTACTCCCAGAATAAAGCAAA